TGAGGTGGGCCTGGCGTCGAGCCGTCTCCTCACATGACGCCCGCTGGGGCGAGACAGCGGGTTCGAGTAGCTTGCTGTTTTATTCATAGTGCTAATTTGTGTCTAGTAGATACAGTTGTAGCAGTCAAACAGTCACTCTTTAAGGAGTCTGCCCAACTCACCTCCTGTGGTGACAGGCAAGCCCCAGCGTGGCCGCTGGCATTCCTTTTCCCTTCAGTGCATAGCGAGGGACGGCGCAAGTCTTGCATAGGTGGGGCTGGAGATGATCCCCACACAGGCCGGCCATCAGCGTCCTTCACTGCATCCTGCGAATAGATCTGTCGAGATCTGCAACTCATTGCTATGGCTGGTGACTGTTTCTGTAGCATGCCCCACCCAAGACGTGGATAGGGCCCAGGAAAGGGAAGAGGAGAGGAAAAACTACCATACCAGTGAAGAGCCTGCAAGGCCTGGAGTGTTAGTAGATGATAACGGACAGTTTACAGAGGTCAGGGGAGATAGTCTATCCTCACACTTTATGAATCCATTCCCCGGTTACCCCATGAGCAGACTATCTTCTTGTAGCATTTTGAAAACCTCTGACCAATAGTTTCTGCTCTATGGCAGAATTAGCACATGGATTTATGACTGCTGTAGTTTCTGTTTCTCCATCAACTTGTGATATGTAGAGAGTCAGAGAAAATCCATGGCCAAGTCAGGAATATGAAAAAAAGGTATTAAACCTACATAAGGTACAACATAGACCCTGTTACTATAGTGTCTGAGTGTATTTATCCTTGCAAAGCACAGTAATGTGATGCTGAAATTCCTAACTTCACTATTTGGAAGCAAAGGCAATGGGTGTCTCAGCAACATACCTGAAATCATAGAAGTATGGCAGAACAGGGAACAGTGGTCTCCCCAAGTTGTAGGCTTGCAGATGACACCAATCTGGGCGGGAATGTTGATCTGCTTGAGGGTGGGAAGGCTCTGCGAAGGGATCTGGACAGACTGGATCGATGGGCCGAGGCCAGTCATATAAGGTTCAACAAGGCCAAGTGCTGGGTCCTGCAACTGGGTCACAATAACCCCATGCAATGCTACAGGCTTGGGGAGGAGTGGCTGGAAAGCTGCATGGAGGAAAAGGACCTGGTGGTACTGATTGACAGCCGGCTGAACATGAGCCAGCAGTGTGCCCAGGTGGCCAAAACGGCCAGCAGGATCCTGGCTTGTATCAGGAGTAGTGTGGCCAGAAGCAGTAGGGAAGTGATC